GCACCGCACGTTTGAGTGCTGAGTAATTGTACTGGCTGATGCAAAATGGTCTTACTGTAAGGTTAAAAGTTGTTGTACATTCTCTTCAGTTAAAAAATGTAATCCATGCGCTTTGACTTTATCGTGATTTTATTGAGGAGCCACTTGAAGGACAGGAAGAAAATGAATTTTAAGATGTAAATATACTCTCCTTCTCAGTACAGTCCTGAAGTTTTTACTGCAATGGTTAGTATTACTGGAACTGCCGTAGAAATTAGGTTGTGAAAGATACTGAAACTGCTTTGAGTTAATAGCATTTTAGATATTTCCCCTAAATTGCTTAGAACATAGGGATTTTATTTGTTTTAAGTGTTCATAAAAACCTCTGAGGGACCATCTTGAAGGAATTTACTTTAGACAAAACGAGGCAGTATTTTAGGTACCTTTTCAGGCAAGTGCTGCTGCGAACAAAGAGGAGATTCCCAATCTCCACAGAAAAAGAGAAAAATGGGTGCTGGGCACAGCCCGTGGCAGCCTGGCCGAGGGGCTGCGCGTCTCCTGGCGACTGCGCTCAGAGCGCCCGGGCAGGCACCGCCGCGGCTCCTCTTTGCCATAGAAATATTTATTTTTATATATTCACTTCATGGCTCTGCCACTTCTTATCTTGAGGGCTGATATTTATTCCTCGGCACAGTTCAGGCTCTATATAATGTTCTGTAGGGTTTTGTACCTACATTAAAAGCCAGCTTCTAATTTTTAATTTAAAAAAAAAAGATAAAAGCGACCTTTTGTTTCTGTTACATGGAATCACTCAGCGTGTTCCGCTGCCAGGGGACCTCAGAGAAGTATATACGTGTTGGTAAAGCACTACTAACCTGCTTTTTATTTTTGGCTTGTTTCTGGTTATGTCATTTGCTATACGATTCTTAAAATAAGCCCAGAACTGCTCCAGGAATGACTGACCTGTCAGACCTAGCTCTGTTTATTAAGATCTGTTCTAAACTTGCATTGCTTTCATTCAGTTGGGAGGGGGAGGCAGAGGCAGAGGTACATTTGTTTTTTCCGCGGCGCCATCATCACCAGTGATTTTCAGCTGAACATTTCAGTTGTTAACTGCCTGTTGTTAGACTTTGCCTTTAGCATAATGAGTTTTATGTTTGTGATTTATTTACGGTCTTGCGCCGTGTTGCGTTTATATCTGAGAACACTTCTGGGTGTTTGCTGTGGCAGATCACCCCGGCTCGGCTGCCGCAATTGCCCGTGAAGTCATTGCCGGTGACTCCTCGCTGATCCATGAAGGAGCTGCAGAATCACCTCCTTAATTTTCAAATAAACGTTCCTTGCCCAGGGATGATTTGTATCCCGTGCAGAAGTCGGAGCTGGTATTTTCCTGCCGCTCCAAGCTAAAAGCAGGCGGGTGGTTCGAGGGTATCGCTTTGCTGTGGCAAACCTCTGCTTTTGTCCCTCCCTCCCGCGGTGGCACTGGAGGGGCAGCGCTCCCGCGGGTGCGGGGTGCACGCTGCTTTCTCAAGAAGGGAATTTTTTTTTTGTTTCCCTTCAGTAAAAGTACCCCTAGAGATCAGGGAGATAAATACCAAATAATAAAGGTGATAAAATATTAGTGTGTCTCTATAAGAGCACGTAAGTTACTTTATCAATTTAAAGTATGCATTTCGGTATATTTATGAAAATAAAATTGCTGCGGTGATACAGTGTTTATTTTTTTTATGTCAGCTTTAACAGAATATTGCAGTTCAGCGCAGAGTTTACCAAATATTGGACTTAGAATTAGGTTGTCATAGCTTCAGTATATCATGTGTTACAGGACAGCGACGGTGGCAGGTGCAGAAGTCAAATAGTCTCCCAGGAGCATCCTCCCATTAAAAAACAATTGCTTGGGCAGGGGGGAGCTGCAGGCAGCTGCGCTTCGTCCCACCGCCTGCCCCTCAGAAGGACGCCTGTTCCCAAACCAGGATTGCCCAGATTTTTGCGTTGTGTGCTGACAGAACCCCTCCGGAGCCGGAGAGCTGCAGACAGCACCACAGAGGCAGCCCCAGAGCTCGGCACACGCTCTGCCACAGCCTCAGCCCTGGGATCCATTAACCCCCGGCCCCGAGGGTCTGGGGGCGAGTGGAATTTTTGGAGTGGGCAGCATCCGTTTGGTTTTTGTGACGATTGCTCCGAGGCCTCGGGAGCACAGGATGAGCATTGCGAAGCAGGCGTTCGGATAGCGCACCAAAAAATAAATCTTGGCTTGAAAGGATTAGCATCAATTAGAGAAGCACTTCCTTTAAATAACAAAGCAGATTAATTCCCTTAAGGACCGTCCTTATTGGAACACATTTTCAGTAGTAAAAAGAGCAACAAGTGTGCTGGTACTATTGATTTTTCTACCTTTGTATTACCAAAACATATTTTATTGACAAGTATTACTTGCTTGTTAAGTGCTAAAGAGTTTGATGGGTCTAAACATCGGATCATCTAATTAATTGGCCTTTCAAACTTTCATCCCAAGCTGCGGTGATTACATTAAAGGGAGAGGTTTGGGGTGCTGTTGGAGTTCCAAGCAAGAAATTAATATATTAATGGGTTCTTAATATCTAAGGCTAACTTCAGATGCAGGGTACCATTCCGAGCTCTTCGTCTTTTCATGCCCCAGCGGCGGGTGCAGGAGCGCTGCTTTCATTTTCGCAGCTGAATTGGGTTCACTGGATGTTGCCCAGCCTCTTTTTGCAGAGCCAACCCCTGCTGATTTAAAGCTGGCGCTGAGCCTCCTCGTGCAGAAAGAGCTGCTCGTGTGTATTTTTGAAGAGGGACTTTGTGTGTGCTTCTGTCCCCAGCCCTGGAGATGATGTGACACGGGTGAGTCTGCCTTGTGTAGAGCACCCACGTGTTTTGCAGTCGTTAAACAGTAACCTCGGGTAACGAGTAAGATCTTTACGGTGCCTCTGACCATGGAATAAGTGAGCAGTTGTTCGTGGCGTTTCCGACATACGTGTTTATATCACAGAATCCTCTGGGTCAGAAAAGCCCCTGCAGCTCCTCCAGCCCAACCATGACCCTCCCCCTGACCGTTCCCAACTCCCCCAGATCCCTCAGCGCTGGCTCAGCCCGACTCTTCAACCCCTCCAGGGATCCCGGGGACTCCCCCCTGCCCTGGGCAGCCCATTCCAACGCCCAACAGCCCCTTCTGCACAGAAATCCTTCCTCAGAGCCAGTCTCTGTATTGTTGGATATTGTAAAAACCAAGTATTCAAGGCTGGTGAGCCGGGCTGTGGTGGAGCACCAATCCCCTGCCTTGCCTGCGAGGAGCCCGGTGCCGCCGTCACACTGCCCAGAGAGGGGTGTGCTGCAGCGGGGGATGTAACAGTAAATATTGTCAAAGGTCATCCAGAAAATTTTTTTTGATGGCAAAAGTAGCGCATCGCAACTGTGTGGTGTGTGTCTGCGTGTCTGTGTTGCCCGGCCACGAGAAGTTCGTGTGTCAAATAATAGTTCTGGCTCTGACCTGAGAAAACAAAGTCCCTTCCAGTTGTTGTATTAGCTCTGGGGAAAAATCCCTTACGCTTCCTCTACAATATAAGGTTTGAACTTTTAATTATTCTGGCAGTAGCCCAAAGGATTTCAGTTGCTTCTAGCTGGATCGAGATGGGGCAGAAGGGATGCCCTCGCAGTGGGGGCAGCTCTGCCTCCTTTGTGGGGACGTTTCCACTCCCCCTGTTTGGGCCGTGTTCTGGTGATATTTCGGTTGTTAGTCGGAACAGAGGGCACTCTGGCGTGTTCTGGTGATATTTCGGTTGTTAGTCGGAGCAGAGGGCACTCTGGCGTGTTCTGGTGATATTTCGGTTGTTAGTCGGAGCACAGAGGACTCTGTCCGTGAGACAGTGGCCTGTGTGCACGGAGGGGTGGGATGACCCCACGTGCCCGTGGACACAGTTCCATCCTCTGCCTCTTGGGGAGGTTTTTACGAAAGCGTGACCACGTCCCTGTGCCGTTGGGAGCGGAGCTGTGGTTGTCTCGTCACCGTTTCTGTGCCGAGTTCGCCGCGGTGACGCCAAGGCAGGAGCAGTAACGTCGAGCTCGGTGGTTCCCAGCCATGGGAGGTGGGTGCTGGAGCCACGGGACTGCCCAGCTCTGCCCCGGCCCCCAGCAGCCTCGTGCTGGTGCCAGGGACCCAACTGGAAACACCCAGCACCCTGGAGGGGGTCACAATTGGGCACCATTCGCAAAGGCGGGGAGGGGGCTTGTGAGTCATTCCCTGCCCGCTGCCCAGCCGGCCGTGGAGGCGCCCAGGCAGCCCGTTCAAAACCTCCTCTGGGGAGCAGAAGTAGGGCGTTTGTTTTTAAATTCCCGTTAAAGACATATTTATGTTCGTACACCTGACAAATTACTTTGGTTTAAAAACTGGATTTGGCAGGGAGTATGTTCATACGATGATTTAATTCTGGTTTATTGGCTAAGCAGCTATTAGAACACTTAAAAGAAATTGCCGTGGCGTTTGAGGCTGAGCGGCGTGTGCCCGAGTCCCACCCCATCGGACGTTTCAGGCCGTGCTCTCACGTTTCACAGTGTCTGGAGGCTTTCAAGTGCGCGGAGGAAAGGGCGTTCTCCGTGCTGAGCACGAGCCCTGCCTGGGACACGGCAGGAGTTCGGTTCTGTGCCACTTCTTCAGGTGTGTGGGCGCAGCACATGCCCCCTGTCCTCCCCGACCGAGGGGAACCACCTCTGCAGCGGAGCTGTGCACTGCTCCTCGGGGGGATCTGCTGATTGACACGCTGACAGCCAGAAAACCAGTGCTAGGAGAACAGGAAATGTAGGGGAAAAGGAAGAGGCGTTTCCACGGAGGTAATTTTTACTGACGGTGATGGGCTCCCTCACTTTTCAAAAAAAAAAAAAAAAAAAAAAAGGGTTTCTAGAAGTTGACGTACGTGTGTGTTTTGTGTTTACTTAAAAGTCTGTTTGGTGTCGGCGTGGTGACGGGTGGTGAATCCTCTGTGTTCCTGTTCTCCCCCTCTCACCAGACTATCCACGGCCACAAAGGACCCATCACGGCGGTGGCTTTCGCCCCTGACGGCCGGTACCTCGCCACCTACTCCAACTCCGACAGCCACCTCTGCTTCTGGCAGGTAAGGGCGCGTTGCCGGCCGCGTGCAGGCGCGCGGGGCACGAGCTGCCCTTCGGGACTTGCTCTTCGTGGGAGCCACGTAACGCCCGAGGAAATCCTGACGAGGGCAAGGGCCCCGGAGTTGGGGCGACTCGGGCACGGGCCGGGGCAGCGCCTGCTCCCTGGGCCATGTCCCTTCCACTGGGAGGGAGGGAGTTTTCTTCTCTAACTCCTACAGCCCCCTCAGTTCCAACAGACCAAGCTTGGAGAACATGTCCCCTTTTTTTTTTTTTTTTTTAAATGTAAAACTCTCAGTTCCTGGTACCGCGGAGCCCGTGCCCCCCGCCTGGCTCTGCTCTGAGCCCCTGTGCCATGCTCGTGTCTTCTGTTTCCCTGATCGTCCTGAAGGCAGGAAAACTGGGATCTAAAAAATATAGAGAGGGTCTAAACCGCAGGAGAAACAGTCAGGCCACCATTTTGTGAAGTATCTGAAGGTTTCTTTAACGCATGAGCAATCTTTTTCTTTGTAATCTCACCTCAGCAGGAATATTTTTTTGTCAGTTGTAGGCTGCTGCCTACGTTCCTCAAGCAGGATTTTTTTTTTCTTCTTTCAAATGGCTTTAGCCTTAAAAAGATACTTTATTTGGAGGGAACTGATCTGATCGAGCAATGTGTGCTGTCAAAATCATTGAGTCTTCCAGTAATCAGACCATAAAACAGAACTCGGTAAGCACCAGCTCCACTCTGTAACACCCTTCCCCAGTTGCCTGTGTTGTTCAGTAGTTATACAGGTACCCTAAAAAATTCCTGAATTATCCATCACTATACTGTGTGCTTTCTGAAACAGCGAATGAGAACAGCAAGAATCTTCATCCATCAGTTACGTTTGTTCTACTTAAGTGCTCAGGAAAAAAATCTGGAGAGCAATCAGGCCAGATCTTTCAGAATTGGCAGGGGAAAAAAAAGTCAGGCACGAGTTTTAAATTGTGCTCTGCCATGCTCTTCCAGGTGTATAAATGTTCCCGTTAAAGTGGCTTTTACATAAAGAGTTAAATATACCTACACATTTAGTTTTAAAATGTGACCTCGTGCACTGGTGATTTTTCCCTTCTGTGTTCTATTTGGCACTATTATTAATGCAGGAAAATCAGTAACATTAGTCATCTTAAAAGGGTTATTACTCAAGATGATTTAAATTGTGAAAATGTCAGTGGTGCTTGCATGCTCCCTGCTAGAGATGCCATGATTTACACTCTCTGACACCGCTCTGCTGCCGAGAAGAGCCAGGAAAAAGTAATGGCTTGTACTTTGTACTGATCAGAATTCAGGACGTAGCATCAGCAATAACGCGCCTTAAATGTCCCAGGATTTGCCAAGGTTTCAGGGGGGGCACGTCTCAGGGATGCAGCCGCCCGGTCGCCTGCTGATGGAAATCCTGGGCTTGCGATGCGTGAGGAGGGAAAAGGGGGTTTCGAGAGCGAAGCGGCGTTTCAGAAAGCGTAGGGTTTTGTGTGTGTCGGTGGGTTAAATCGGAGAAGCTCGGTTTTAAAAAAGCAGAGCTGGGCAGGACGCTGCGGCAGGAAGAGCGTAACTCCGCCATCTCTGCTGAGCAGCCTCTTCATCTGCCAGGCAATAAACCAGCTCCTGCTGTTGGTTTTATTTCTGTTCGTACCTGTCATGACGGCTGCTCTTCATTCTGCCTGTTGTCAGCATTAGTGTGTCTGCAGTTTTGATAAATAATATTCTAGCATTAATTTTATGAATATCACAGAATCCCTGAATCCTTCAGGTTGGAAAAGCCCCTCGGGATCAGCGAGTCCAACCCTCAGCCCGACTCGACAAAGTTCTCCCCTACCCCACATCCCCCACAGCTCATCCCAACGGCCCTGAAACCCCCCCAGGGATGGGGACTCCCCCCTCCCTGGGCAGCCTCTTCCACTCTCGGACCACTCTTGCTGGGAAACATTTTCTCCTCCTGCCCAGCCTGACCCTCCCCTGGGGCAGTTTCCAGCCGTTCCCTCTTGTCCTGTCCCTGATCCCCTGGGAGCAGAGCCCAGCCCCAGCCTCTCTGCAATGTCCTGTCAGGAGCTGCAGAGAGGGATGAGGGCTCCCCTCAGCCTCCTCCTCCTCAC